TCGAACAAAATAGATTGTAGACCAAGTAAGATCTTAACTTAATCCCTCTTTTATCAACCTTGAGATTCTTCAAATCAGACACAAAGCTTTGATTTACATCTAGACAGGACCACAAACAAGCCAGTCCAGTTGCACAACCATCTTCAAACATCTTATGCAAGGATGCAATAAAAAAAGAGATGAACGACACTTTCCACAACACTAGCACAAAGGGGGCATAAATCGAAAGTCACATGCACTCCTTGATCAGCAAGGTTTAAAGAGACATGGATGTTATCCAAAAAAACCTCCAAGCAAGACATTCAATTTTTAAAGGGACCCAACTTACCTACACGAAATTACTAGACACGTCATTTGCTTCTATATCTGCTATGATTATTCATAATGAGTAAATAGAGAAACATTCCATAGGAGTTTCCTTTCCAAATCCAAATGTTTGAAGCCTACAAGGGAGTCATTATCCAAATTTTGTTTCTAAATGTAGCAATATGTGGCCTCCCTTCCCCTCCTCGGTTGTTTAATCCAATTCCAATTTAAGCCTTCCAATCCACTTCCTTGAATCCTATCCTTGACCATAAAATCTTTGTGAGCTTATATGCAATATAAATCCGGAAATACCTTTTTCAAGACTAAATCATCAAACCAAATATCTTTATAAAAGAACATATTATTTCAACCCCTAAGCATTTTTTTCAACAAGGCATCTAAATTAATAACCAAATCATCGAAGTCTTCATCAATTTTCGAAATAGCAAGTCAGGCCCCCACCCTCAAGACAGAGAGGCTCTATGTCACGTCTTGCCTTCAATGCAAGAGATTTTATGCCAAATATGATGCATCTTGATCAAAGGCCATTGAAATCGCTTTTGAGCCTCCGCTTCCATTTCGCTAAAAGCGACAAGTCTAAATACCTAAGACAACCAATACCCAAACCTCCATAATGTTTCGGCCCCACCATAGTTTTGCATGCCACACAATTTATTTTTTTCTTATTATCTAGACCATCCCCAAGAAATCTCCTCATAATGCCCTCCAAACAATTGACAACCTTCCGAGGAGCTTTATAAAGAGAGAATTAATAAAGTGTAAGGCTTCCTAACATGACTTCACGAGAGTGAGACACCCTCCAAAAGAAAGATTATTGGCATTCTAACTAGAAAGCTTGGAACTAAATTTATCAACAACGGGTTTCCAATATTTCAAGAATTTCATATTTGTTTGAAAGAGTGTTAAAGATCATTAACTATTTGTAATATTTCTAATAATAATAGGGTTCTTTTGGGTTGCCCTCATGACCCAAATTAAGTAGAATAAATAAAGGAGAAATTATTTTATTAATTATGATGATTTCATAATTAATTAAAAAATATTTGGAAATTATATTGGGAATTAATTAAATAGTTTTAATTAATTAAAATGGTTGAATATTAATTAGTCAATAGTTGGCATCGTACAACGAATTAATTAAAAGGGTTGAATATTAATTAGTCTTGATGAAAACCACGACACGCTTAAATATATCGACCAAAACATCCCTAACCACATCATGCATATAATTGAACCCTGAGAGTTCTTTTCAATGAACTACATGCTCTCTAAAACAGTCCAAACATGCCTCGAGGCACACCGGACATATCTCGTCGGTTGGGAATATTGGAATCATAAGTCGATATTTGAGGATGGTATGATACTCCACAAGGGACATATGTTGGCCAAGCCCATCTATAGGGATAGCTAGAAGAAAATCTTGAGCACGTGGTGCACTTAAACACTATAAACCTGCTTTTTGTCGAGCCGTCATGTTGAAATTAACTTCCATATCTTGGGCCATTTTACTAAAAAGGGAACTTGCCAATGCATTTTGGGATTTAGGGGGGGGGGGGTCCTTAGTATTAAAATTGCTAAGGTTAATGTTCGGAAGCTTGTTACGAAGAGAAGCTAAGGAACAAGCATAATCAAAATCCATTGTATGTCACAAAAGAAAGGGCCACCACAAATCACATTGTCCTCAATCACCATGCGCAACCCATTATCGAAGAACAAAGTCGCCTCCTCCATGTAAACAGATTGGCACGTCCTCAGCCCAAAGAAACGTTTCGCAATATCCATACAAGACCGAAGTATAAGGAGCTCACTTTGCGGGTCAAACAATTGTAGACGAAGGCGCATCAAAATCACAGCTTTTTCAGCTCTCTTTATGGCTAAGCTTCTAATGAAATTAGCATCTCTACTAATAGTTTCCCTAAGAAGTTTCACCCCCAATGACGGTCTCGCCAACTGGGATTAACCCCTCACACAACTTCCTACCAAAACCGTTAAGGAATTAGGGTTAGATGACAATTCACTCCATCCCCCATGAGATGGAGGTAAATAAATAATAATATTTGTAATATTTCTAATAATAATAAGGTCATTTTGGGTTGCCCTCATTACCCAAATTAAGTTGAATAAATAAAGGAGAAATTATTTTATTAATTATTATGATATAATAATTAATTAAAAATTTTGGAAATTATATTGGCAATTAATTAAATAGTTTTAATTAATTAAAAGGGTTGAATATTAATTAGTCAATAGTTGGTTGATTAGAATATTCCAAAACCCTTAAGGAATTAGTGTTGGATAACAATTCACTCCATCCCCCATGGGATGGAGGTGAAATTCGAATTTCACTTCTATCCCACATGGGAAGGGAAACAAATTTAAGGAATGCATCCTAGGCTATAAATAGGGCTTTAGGGATCACTTAATTACTTGTACCTTGGCTTGATAAATTCACTAACTCTCTTCACCACTCTAAATGCGGTGATTTATAACCATCTCAGGTTTTGTAAAATTGACAATTCTCCTAATTATTTTTATTCTTTCTTTGGTGTTTTTTGGGTGTGATACCATTATAGAGATTTTGGTTTAGGTTCTCTCATCCGAGCAACCTTAAAGAGGATAAGATCTCAAGCATGGATATCATTGGCATCATAAGAGGTATGTAATTCTTAACTCTTTTTTTATGTTTTAGTAGAGTAGTAGTAATAACAAGAAACTTAAATAGATTCTTAGGGTGCATGAACATATAGGACTATTGTTATGTTTCCGTTGCGCATAATTATGTGTTTAGATGCATAGAAAATCGAACAATATTAGCACATATTAGGAGACCCAGATACAAAAAAGGGGAAGCTTTGTGTGGCTTCAACTGGCATTTCAGAAATTTGAAGAAAACAGCTTGGTAGAGAGAGAGAAAGGGGGGGGGGGGGGGAGGGAGTACTTTGAGGAATGGTGAAATTTGGATGACAGATGAAGTTGTTCAAGCCTTCAAGTGGGAGATTGTTGGGGTATGAAGTCTTTTCCAACATTGAGCATTTGGATCATGTTTCTGAAGCTTTTGGAGCACTTGGAACTCAATGGATCACTTGAGGTTCGTGGAGCATGTGATAAAGGAATAAATCTTCTGAGAAAAGAATGGATCATTAGACAAAGGAACAGATCAAGTGTCAAAGCACCGGATCATGTATAAGGGGGTTTGGAGCACCTGGAAGAGGTTTAGAGCACTTGGGAGGGATATGGAGCAACAAAGAGTCCTTGTTGCACCATTTGATAAAAGGATGGGCCAAGAGGAATGCTCCAGTGCCATTGTACTCCCTCTTGCGCCATCTTGTTCTCCTTTTGCGCCAAGATGCTACTTGTTGCGCCATACATGACCTTGTTGCGCCATGCATGTGTCTGTTGCTCCATGGCGATGTTGTTGCTCCAAGATTGATGTTTGTACGCCATACTTGATGCTCTTGCGCCATTTATATCCATGTTGCACCATCATGGATCGTCTTGGTACATGATGCGCCATAATGATTCCTTTGTTGTGCCATGTTGATCTAAGTATGCCTAGAATATGATGATGCTCAAGAAATTTTAGAAGATGATGCATGATGGATTGTGATTAGTTGTCACCATTCATGGGCCTATGGGCCAATGAGCTTGGCTCATTAGGGTTTTAGGTTTGATCTCTAAAGTATAAATAGGCACATACCCCCATCATTGTAAATTGTTATGTGAGAGCTCAAAGTGAGATATAATTTTGAGTGCTTGTAATTGTTCCAGAAAGTTAATAAAATCTTCTCTCTCACACACACTCTCTCTCTCTCTCTCTCATTCACCCGTGGATGTAGGTCATCTTGACCGAAGCACGTTAAATATCGTGTTCATTTGATTTACGTTTTTCTGAAGTTTTGTGAGTTTACCGAAGTTTGTGTTTTGATATTTGTCTGAAGTGTTTAACTTGTTTTGTTGTACCCGACATTACAGCCTTATTAATAACCTTCTTGAGATCTTCTTGAGATGCAAGGCAAGAAGCTTGGATAAAATTTTATACATTCAATATTTTTGAATTTGCAACGCTTGATGAAACTAACATAAATTTGGAAAAGAAAGATAAAGATAAAGGACCAATATGAGAATATCTTTATATAGGAGGGACTGATATTTGAAACGATGCAGAAGAAAGGAGATAAGGAGAATCTTAGCATTGCTGATTGCTAGGTTGCTATACATTAGGCATCATGTGGCGCACCTTTTTCAGCATTGAAAACGACCATTTTAACCACATGACATTCTCATTTAACACACGTGCTCTTTAATTTCACTTGTAACGCGTAAGCCCCATTATATATGATATAATATACATATTCTTAGATGAATGGATGTATGTGAATCATTGCTGTTATGAACTCGTCATATCTTTGATATAGGTCACCTCCTAGAGTCCTTGAAGATTTTTGTGGGCTGTGAGAAGAAAATGAAAAAAAAAAAAAACTGTAGTATTAGTGTGCTTGTGTGTGGATGTGTGTGGTCTTTTTCAGGTTTCAACGAAAGATTTCCGGATCAACGTGACAAGTTGACCCTACTCTAGTATTTTTCGTCTTCTTCTTCGCAGTACCTTAATGCATATATACATGCTTACTCCAAGAAGTTTAAAGGGTCCATTAATGATGAAAAGTGCAGCAGATATGGGGGAAGCCTCGTCATTTCATGAACCGAAGTACAAAGGTGTGAGGAAGAGGAAATGGGGCAGGTGGGTGTCGGAGATCAGGCTACCCAACAGCCGTGAGAGGATCTGGTTAGGCTCGTATGACACGCCAGAGAAAGCTGCTAGAGCTTTCGATGCTGCGGCGTTTTGTCTTCGAGGCACCTCCGCCAAGTTCAATTTTCCCGACCAACCACCAAATATTCCCGGAGCAAGGTCACTTTCTCCCTCCGAGATACAAGCTGCCGCCGCTAACTTTGCCAATTCATTCCCATTATTCCCATCTCCGTCAGGCTCAGTTTCAGAAGCCGCCGTCCCCATGGAGGCTGAAACCTCCACCCCCTCCCTTCTCTGGCCAGATAATAATAATAATGTGACGGATTACGGAATATTTCCAGGATTTGATGATTACTTCATGCGGTCACCACCCATCGTTTCTTCAAGGTCTCCTGATTACGATGATGAGGAGAACTCAAACTACTGGGATATCTCGCAAGACCCATCATTCCTCTGGAGCTTTTAATCAATCCAACCATACATATTGAAGTACATTATACATACTTACGTACACCTGCCGGAAAAAAAGTGTCAGAATCCTGGGTTATATTTGTTGCTAGAGATGCTGAGAGAGGTGACTGTGGAGATAAATTTTTTAATATGGAGCCTACCTCCTGAAGGTGAGCCATTATCATTCGTGCACATCGAATAATCTTTTCATGTACTATGAAGTATAGTTGTTATTCTTAAGAAAAAGATAAGTACAAACAAGGAACTATGCTATCTTTACTTTGCTTTTGATTACTTGGTGGATATTTTATTTAGAGGAAGCATAGAAACAGCGCTTCTTGACATTTTATTTAGAGGAACTGAGGAAGCATAGAAAAATCGCTTGCGAGTTGTAACGTTTTGATTAGTTTGTTTTGATTAGTTTCAAGCTCGTGTAGTATTCGGTTTACGAAATCATACAATGGAATATCGATATTTTAATGTACTTTCATCATTATTTTAGGATTATATTGCGAAACAAAATTTTTTAATTTCAATAGAAGAACAAATTAATTTAGTTTACTAGCAAGAAATTGTAATTAAAGGCTCTTTGACCTAACCATATGAAATATGGAATGACTTTCAAATGAAAGGTCAGTGTTACTTAATACATTAGTTTGTTGTTTCTAACAAAATAAATAAATAAATAAATAAATAATAATAATAATAATAATAATAATAATAATAATAATAATAATAATAATAAACTTCAAACTTTTTTCTAGAAAGGATATTGTATTTTAGGAATACACCAAGTAGCATCGAGTTTTTTTTTTCTTTTTTTTTTTTAATATGAAAATTAGATCATTAACAAAATAAAATAGGTGGCATGTTAACTATTTATTTATTAGATAATATATATATATATATATATATATATATATATATATATATATATATATAAATTATATAATTTATTCGATTAATTAAATTTAATAATATTGTGTAACTAGAAATTATCACAAATACATGTAATTATGAATGATATTATAATATAATGAAACGTAACTTAAAATATCAAATAAATCTGTTTTTTTTTTTTCAATAACTAGCTTTCAAAATAGTCAAATATGTATGACATTATATATAGTATAAAAGTACACATGCTTATGAACAGTTTACTTGGCTAAATTTTAGAGTTGATCAACTTACTCCCTCTACTTTCATTGGCTTCCTATAAAATATGTACACGGACGTAAGCCAGATGTTTACTGCCTCCATGCCTCTACTTATATGCTTTCCTCTCTGTTTACATCCCCCACAAAAACATGAATTTAGGTCCGTATGTTTCACTATTTTGGTCGTCTTTGTCTACCATTGTTGATGCACATAAAAAATCCCTAATATCATTTGCAAAACAAAATTGACTTTGTTTGCTAAATCCCACTCTTAACGTTGATGTTTTGTCTATAAGTTTCGGAAATCGTTACAATTATTAATGTCTCTACTAAACTCTCTTTTCATCGATTGCATAGTAGTTTCATCCATGTTTTTATGTGTATATTGACCTAATTGTATCTTTTGGAAGAGCACACTCTACAACTATAGAGTATGGCTATAGGTTTAACGATTAGGCAAGGTATGTTTTCAATTTTGATTTTTCTATACCCATCATATATGTGTTTTCATTGTTGGTTAGGGAACTGATTTGGATGATACTAACATATGCTTTGAAATTCGACAATGGGGGTGCGATCCCCATCAAAACTACTTCACATGAGCAACATCAACTATCACATTCATTGAGTTTTCAATCACTATATTAACATATGCTTTGAAATTCGACAATGGGGGTGCGATCCCCATCAAAACTGCTTCACATGAGCAACATCAATTATCACTTTCATTGATTTTTCAATCACTTCAAAGTTCAATCTCTTATCACTTTTCATCATCTTATGGTACCAAGTGCTTTAGAGGTGAAATTAATTCGTTTGTTTAATTTGATGATCTTTTTGTGTAGTTTTATTACAATATCCATAAATCTTGTTTCTTAAGGCTAAGTGATTAAAAATGACACAATAAATAACCTAATTTCGTACTTTTTTTCTTCATTGCTATAGATAATATATTACCAAAAGATGAGGTCTTGATAAATTGCATCATATCCATTTTATTTTTAATGCAAATCATAGGAAGAGACACAAGAGAAACATTACTAATTTAAGGATCATACAAGAATTTAAGAATCAAAAAGATTATGTACAATACGTAACAACTAAGTATTTCTTATATGGTTTTCTTAACCAAATCACACAAAACTGTTTGAAAAATCTCATCCTTATTTCATTATACCTTCATACAAGGTTATTGGGTGATTCTTGGATCAATATGATTGCCTCTCCCTTCATGTTTGGCTCTAAATAATATGACATCTCGGTTGGTCTTGCTCTATGCAACAAGGAATTTTCAAAATCACTAATTTTTTAAAAGTTACTATTAACAAACGTGATGTTATGGTGCAGATACTTTATTACCACACTTTTGGTGGTTTGCTTGTGCCATATCATCACTAGAGAAATATCATGTTGGTGTACTATAATTACGACCTAAGCATACTCATTCGACATTCCAATTAAGATCATATGTCCAATGAGAAATGATTCTACATTTATTTATAACAACTATGGCATATTTCTTTATTACTAAGTAGAGATTAAAAATTTTAAAGAGTTTGAATTTTCTTTTGGTCAATTATCTTTTCTGTTGTTTCAAGTTTTCAAATGGTCTGTTACATAATGGATCCATTGTGCTCAAGAGGGAGTGATGCTGTTTTATAGGACATATTAGATCCACATGTAATCCCAAGTGATTCTTTGACCTAAGATTCTAATAGGATGATGCATCCTGAGCTTTGAGAGATATTGACTGAGAAGGTCTTTTAAACTCCATATATTAATTAAAATTACAATTTCCATGTGAATATATTGTAATGGTCTTATTTATTTACAACATGGAAGGAAATAAGTTGGCTTAATTCTCTATGTTGGTAATTATATATCTTCAGCACTTGAAGACAGAGTGTATAATAAAAGGGTTGTTAATGCTTTTTCGTTGGTATATCTTCATAATCATCAAAAATGTTTACATTCTCTAAGTATATAATTTATTTTTGTTAGTTTCCTTTTAGAAATAAACGAATTTCAAATGGTACAAACTTAAAATTTCTTTAAATGGATCATGAGTTTCTATGAAATTTGAATACATTTTGAATTGTGGTTGACCCATTTTCTTTTTATGTAGAATTTGAAGTTTCACACATCTGATCTGTCACAGATAAAACTTTACCCATATTGACCAATTTCATTCGGAAAAAGTAAGGGTATCCGATTACATTTTGGCCACATTGCTTATCTTTCATGTGATTTGGGATTAGGAACAATTGGAATATCAGGTAGCGCTATGTCACACCCCAAACCGAGGTTGTGGAACACGACGAGCTGTGCAACTTAGTTCATGGATCATAGGAAATTGGTATATAGCACAAGTACCATAATAAACAAACATTAATTGTATTTCATCTTGAAATTTGAATATAATGTTTTTAATATAAATATGAAGTACATGGATTGCCTTAACAACTAAGCAGATATATATATTAAAAAAAAAAAAAAAAAAAAAAAAAAAAAAAAAAAAAAAAAAACTAGTAAAAGTAAGTTGCCTGAAATCATTCAGTGTTCCATCGCCTGAGATGTTTTTTTAGTGATTTCCTAAGAATAAATGTAGTTTTGAGGGTCAACACAAGATTGGTGAGAGTTACATGTTTTCTACTCACAACAATATTGATACTTTTAAAACATTCTAAAGTGTTTTCTCTGTAAGTAAATCCATACTTGAATATAAGTTTGTAAATAATCTTCAAAGAACTTTGAAAGCCAAAATGTTTTTTTTATATAAGTAAATCGTACTTAAAAATGTTTTGTAGTGAGAGAAACCAATCATATGGTTTTTAGAGAGAGAGATAATTCTAGTTAATATTTATAGTGAGTCATATAGTTGAGCTATGTGACTAGATATACAGATAAAGTCATCTGGATATACGGGTAAAGTTATACCATAAAGTTTGACTATATAGGTCATTAAATAACATATACAAATATACAGATATACAGATAAAATTATAGCATAAAATTTGACTATATAAGTCATTAACTAAGGTATACAGCTATAGTTATACGGATAAAAGTCGAATATGTTCGATATGTAAAATGTAATAGTGTATGATATTCGTTTAAATATGTGACAAATCTTATGCGAGTGTATACAAGTACATGTAACAATCTAAGATATAAGTTTTATACCTTGTATATATATATATATATATATATATATATATATATATATATATATATATATATATATATATATATATATATATATATATATATATCGTACTCATACTATATTATAAAGGAAACATTTTCCTTTCACCACATTTATTTGAAACTCCTATGTATTTTTTCTTTCACCACATTCATTTGAAACTCCCATGACTTTTCAATTTCTTTGTAATAATTATTATAAGTTAGTTAATAAGGTTAAATAAATATCAAACATAAAGTGTAATCATATATAAACTAAATTTTAATATTAAAAAATAATATCTTTACTTCTATTTATTAAGTGATTTTTTTGAACTTTTAACATATTATACTTAATCTATTAGTTTTAATATATTGTTGGATGTAAACCGTTATCATTTTAAAGATACAATTTTGAAACTATTTGTACAAAATATTTAAATTATTAATTTGAATATAACATTACAGTATCAACTTAAATATAAATTGTAGTTTAACTTAAACAACACAAAAAATATTTTGTAAATAGTCAAAATTGATTAACTGTAGTGTTTTTCTAATAATGATTATTGATGGGTTTTTGGTCATAAAAACATCTTATGTGCTCATACAAACCCTAATGCTTGGATCTAGGTTTCTCTATTGTACATGCAAGTTATCCAAGACTATAAACCCT